CTGTTTCCAGTGTTCTGCTGCTTGGAAAAGTTATTTTTTAAAAATTCCAGGATATCCCACCCAGCACAGTCAGAGGGTGAAAAACGGTTAACAAGGCCAATGAATAATGTATTTGTGCCTCCCAAATCTGTCTCTATTTCATAGCACCGTTCCTTGATTTTGGCTTATTTCTAAATATGTAAACCGACCCATCACTCGAAAGATTTCAGGGTGACCGTGCATGAAAGAGGCCGTGCGCAGGGTAGCATTCTGGGGGCCACCAACTAGAATATTCTCTCTCCCAAGCTCCACGCTGGAGTGGCCGCTGAGGACCCTGGGCAGCCGCTCATGGCAGGGCTCTGAATGGGACGCAGTCCCTTCCCTTGCTAAGGGTTGTCCTCTTCTGATCAGGAGGCACCCAAAGAGAAGCTGGCGGCAGAGCTGAGGGGCCGCCTGGACAAGATCCGTGCATTGGCGCAGAGAGTCCAGCGGCCGGCGGGCTCCCTCCCAGAGGCCGAGGGTGACCTAAGGAGTCGGCTGAAGCGGGCTCGGCTGCTGGAGGCCAAGATCAGCCAAAGGAAAGCGTCCAGAGGAGAGGAGGAAGAGGAGGCCGCTCAGCACCAGCGAGGGAGAAAGGATCCTCTGGACTCGACCGCAGAGAACAGGTGCGGGGGACGAGAACATCCTAAACTTACGGAATAACGTTTTGCTGAATCCCAGCTAGAAAATGACTATGCTTTTATTGTATGCCACCTTGGTAGATATCTGGATGAAATGCTCATTAAAATAAAGAGGGAGAAATAAAATTCAAGTCATCCATACGCCCACCTTTCCAAGAGGTATATTACTCTTCGGCTGTTTTCCTCCTTACTTATTAAAAAGGGTTTGCTGCTTGCTTTTTAGCCCGGTAGGATTTCCAAGGAGGGGCGCATTAAGAGCGTTCTTTTTAAAGGCCACGATAAAACATGTGTTTTTTTCTTCAGAGTATTGGGGTGATTTGCTTTCTAGGAAGAGAGGCCTATTCTAGGGGGTTGCGGGAGGTGTTTGGGGTTCCTCAGGTAGGGCTGGGTTTGGGGATGCTGGTGACGCTGCCGTCACGTGTTGTCCTTTCCTTCCCAGCGAGAAGACACCGGCCTACCAGCGCTTCCACGCCCTTGCCCAGGACGTCCCCCCAGGACTCGCTCTGCCCTACAAGTACAAGGTGCTGGCCGAGATGTTTCGCAGCATGGAGACCGTCGTGGCGATGCTCTTCAACCGCTCAGAGACGGCCACCTTTGCCAAAGTCAAGCAAGGGGTCCAGGACATGATCCGCAAGTGAGCTCGCCTTCCTTGATCCTGGCGGGACGACGGGGGTGGGCTGAGGCTGTTCCAGAGCAGCTGGCCTCGAGAGGGTGGGACAGAGAGGGTCACCGCGGGTGCCCCTGGCAAATGTGTGGTGGTATCCGGGAGGCAACACAAGGGAAGCCTAGAGCCAGACCGAAGTCCCAAGGCGTCTGCATTTATTAACATTGGGGAAGGAGGAAGGGTGGCCTCCAGGCCACGTGCAGCCCCCTAAGGGGACAGGTGGGGTGCGAGGGGCAACGAATGAAAGGATAATGAAGGAACTCACCCATGTTGGAGACACGTTTTTCCCCCGGGTCTGTCAGCCTCCTGCCCAGAGGGTTCATCTTGGCAACCCGGTGATTTCCCTGCCCTCCTCCAGGCAGTTTGAAGAGCGCAATGTGGGCCAGATCAAGACTGTGTACCCCACCTCCTACACCCTGCGGCAGGAGAAGAACGTGCCCAGCTTTGGCAGCGGCCAGAGGCGACCCGCCTACCAGCTGACCCTGGAGCCAGTCCTAAAGGCCGGTACGTGCCGGCCTCTTGAAACAGGAAGCCCTTCAGTGGGCCTTCCCCTTATATGGGGGGCCCTTTAGCTGGGTAGGTGGCTGGCCTAAGCCCCCCTGGGCAGCTGCAGTGGCCTCTCTCTGTGTGTGTATGTGTATGTGTGTGCGTGCGTGGGGGGGTATTTGAACCCAAGGTCCTCATCTGGATTTCAGGTGAGAAGCTATCGGCATCGCGCCAGATGGAACGCCGGAAAATATTTGGCCGGAACCTGATAAACATCGTGAAAGAACACCACAAGGTAAGTCCCCTGGGGTCGTCCCTCGGGTCCTGCCTGACCCTCCCCTCCTTTTTCTTTTTGGTCTGTCCAGCGTAGAGCGGGGGGAGGGGAACAGCGGCCTGCCTGGCGACGTCCTGCAAACTTGCACAGCGCTCAGCTCTTGCGGCAGCAGGTCAGGCTGTTGGGCTGCTGGTTGCTAAGGACCGCCGGCCCCTTCCTTATTGCTTTCCTGCTAACTCAATTTAGATCTTTTCCTTCCACAAGAGAGCTCAAAGTGAATTATAATCTACATTAAAAAGCGACTTCAAATTATGAGTATCTAAAATTACATTTCTGGGATCAGTAAAACGTTTTATTAGATGGCTGAAAGTTTAGAAGGCGAGCGCGTTGGGCAGAGTTGGGGGAGGTGAAGAGACGAAAAGTCCCAAGAGAGAAAGTCCTTAAGAGCAGAAGGACTCACAGGCGAAGCTACGGACTTTGGGTTCCTCAAAAACAGAAGATGTTTCGGGGGATGTCTGTTTACCCTCTCCCCTTGGTAGCCTGGAAGAGGGGTCCCACTGAGGTGCCATGGCCGCCAGTACAGACAGACTGCAGCGCCAGACGAAGGGCGCGCTTGCCTTTCTGCCCCACCGCTTGTCCAGAGGGAGAGGTTCCCAACGGTGACCCGAGGGCCCTGGGGGGCTGAAGGGCGTTCCGGGCCCCGGTGCTCACCCAGCGTCTCGTGCTCCCCGACAGGCTTTCCTGGCGTCTCTCAACCCTCCGATGGCGGTGCCAGAGCACAAGCTGACTAGGTGGCACCCCCGGTTCAATCTGGACAGTGTGCCCGACGTTGTGCCCGCCGCCTTGCCTCAGCCGCCCGAGGTGGACAAGATCACCTCCGCTCAGGAGGTGCTGGAGAAGGCGCGCACCATGTTGACGCCAAAGGTATGGCCGGGGCAGGCGGGCGGGGGGGGGTCAACCCGAGGCTATGGGTTAGCCTTTTTGTCTTAGGGGTGTGCGTGAATTTCCAGCTGAGAAGGTCTCGGGGAGTGGCTCCTTTTTTTTCTAAACTCCTCCTGGCACCTTTTGCCC